TGATGGCTGGCATGCCGCGCGCATGGTGGATGGTGCCCCCACCTAGCAACTGCGCCATGACAGCTTGCAGGGCGGTGATTTGGAAGTTCGCCCCGATCGTCCACTTCATCATCCCTTCGAACAGCCCGCGGCGAAGAATGCGCAAGACGTGTGATTTGCCCGTCCCCGGGCCCCCGTGCATGCACCACTGCAGGGGTCCCCCATGGCCGTCTCCTCCATTCCCTCGCCATCGATCTCCTGCATTACCCGACGCGCCACCTTCTTCACCATCTCGAACTGCTTCGCGTTCACCACGCGCCGCCCTGTGTCCTTGTCCATCCGGAACTCGAGGTCCTGGAGCCACCTGGCCGCGTCATCCGATGTGGCGGCCGCGCCCGCGACCGCGACTCCTCCAGCAGCGTCTGTCATCCTGTCGGCCATGGAACACTCTTTGTTCCGAGACTTCCGCGCTTCCCGGAGAACCAGGTCCAAGTCACAGGCCTGCTCTGCCGGCCAAGCGCCTGGCACCTCGCTGAGCGGCGTTTCGCCGTCCCGAAGCCCCCGCGCCTGCTGCGCCGCAGCCATGCACCACTTCGAGTTGTCGTAATGATACGCGCCTCCAGCTCCTTCGCCCGCACCCTCCTCCTCGCTGGCGCTGTCTCCGCCCCCGTCTTTCCGTCGCTTCCCGCCCGCGCGCGACTTCAGCGCCTCGTCGAGCTGATCGAAACCCACGTCTAATTCCACGTCGCTCACGTCTTCGTCGCTCCGTTCCCCCGCTTCGCCAGCGTCCCGCGGCCGGGCGCGGTGCGCGCTCAGGAAGTCCCCCACGTACCGCGCGGCCTCCTTCGTCTGCGCTCCGCCGCCCAGCCACTCAACCATGGCTGCGCCCCATGTCGGTGCTTCGCCACGCAGGTCCCCTGCGAACGCGACGTGTTGGTCCGCCACGTCGGGCCTCAGGGTCCACGGGTGGAAATACGTCATGACGATGCGCGCCGACCGCTCCGCTTCCCTTGGACGTCCGCGCGGCGCGGGTGCTCAGAAAAAAAGTTGGCGCCATGGGCCTCCTATTCCGCTTCAGAATTCACGCGTGGCGACGGTGGGCGCACCCTTCGGCGCCCGGATAAGGAACCCAATCGCCACCTCCGTCTTCCTTCACCGCGTAGTCCACCCCGGGCACCAAGTCCCCCTCCAAACTCGCGTTCCCCCGCCCCTGACGCAGTTTCTTCTTGCCCCACTGTGTCAAGACTGCGTGATGGCGCGGATTCTCCGCATCTGCGATTCTCGTCGGGAAAGACAGCAACACCGGCGTCCAATACGTTGCGAACTCATACGTAGATAGGTCCCACAGGCCGGAACTCTTCGGACGCAGCCCATACAACATGCCCACACCTCGAACAGTCACCTTTCGGCGTCTCTTCTGCCGCATGTCCACTTCGGCAAACTGAGCTTTGCGACCCCCAGACGCGCGGTCTGCCAAGCGCTCGACAAAGTCCACGTACTCGCGTCCGTAGAACGCTGTCGTCTGGCACGACTGCATTGCCTCCGCCGCAGTCACGTCGCCCTCTTCGCGCGAAGGCCCTCAGGTTTGCACATTCCCCTTGGCCGCGCACGATGCCCTTGCCATACGCGTCGCTCATGGTTCGGTTCGCTACCCTCTTACCGATCCAATTCACGCTTTCGCCCTGCAGCTGCCTTCCAAGCTTCTCGACTCCTTTGCAACACTCTTTCACCTCCTGGAAAGCCATGGGCTGTCGCTTCGTACAGTAGTCGCAGACGTATCCTGCCTGCGCGTCCTGTGCCATCTGCGCGACCCTGATGATCGCTGCGTCGTCGAGCTTCTTGTCGCATGCTTTCTGGCACGTGCAACAGACTTTCGTGATGGGAAGTCGATACGGCAGCTGCACGTCCGAATTGAATCGCTGCGCGGACAACATGCACGGATGCGTGCCGTTCAGGCTCGCGTGATTCATCGGCCCGTGTAGGCTGCCAGTCCGATTCCGACGCCCTGCCTTCGGCATGTCCGACGCCACCGCCTGCCCCGGACACACGACGATAGCGCGATCAATGATCTGCGCCGTGCGCGGGAAATCCGCCTTACCCAACTTCGCCTGGGCGAACTGGACACGTGAAAACAAGTAGTTCGCTCGAGACATCCTCAACACATTTTCATGTGAGACGTCCGCCTGGGTGACCTGGGCATGTGAAAACAAGCGTTTCGCTCGAGACATTTTCAACACCTCCTCATTCTAGACATCCGCCTTGGCGACCTGTACACATGAAAGCACACGTCTCGCTCGAGACATCCTCAACACATCTTCATGTCAGACATCCGCCTGGGCGACCTGGACACGTACTGTTAAAAACAAGTGTCTCTCTCGATACATTCTCAACACATCCTCATGCTAGGCATCCGCCTGGGCAACCTGGACACGTGCAAACAAGCATCTCGATCGAGACTTCCTCCACACCTCCTCATTCTAGACATCCGCCTGGGCGACGAGGACGCGTGAAACCAAGCGTCTCGCTCGAGACATCCTCAACAAATCCTGGCGCTTGACCTCTGCCTGGGCAACCTGGAGGCGTGAAACCAAGCGTCTCGCTCGAGACATCCTCAAGACCTGGGCACGTGAAACCAAGCATTTCACTTGAGAGATCCTCTAAATTCTGGTCCCCAGGAGAGGACAATCTAAAACACAAAACAAGCGTTTCGCTCGAGACATCCTCAACAAATTCTGAAAAACATACGTTTCGCTAGGGACATCCTCAAATTTGAATTCGCCGGCCCTACAGCCGTCAGATCCGGGGGCAAACCCCTAAAAGAGAACCCTGGGCCCGAAGCCCTTTCCGGGAAAAACAAACAGGCCCCGACACTGGTTCACGGCGGCGCCCATACCTCATGATTTTGCTTTTGCATCTCCCATTATCCGAGACAGGGGGCCGGCGGCATGGAGAGAAACCCTTACGGATAAATTCGACCAGGCGCCGACGCGCGTGCTCAATACCTGTACGACCACCTTTCGGGTGATAAGAAGGTTCGGGGGGGGGAGGAACCAACGTCTCATTCGATCGGTCTCACTATCGATCTCACTATGGATATCACTATCGGTCTCGCTCGATCGATCGCACTATCGATCCCACAGTCGATGTCACTGGATCCGTTCCATTCGATCGATCTCACAATTGATCTGACTATCGATCTCACAATCGATCTCACTATCGATCTCACAATCGATCTCACATTCGGTCTCACTTGCGACCTCACTATCGATACCACAACCGATCTCACAATCAACGTCATCATCATCAACATCAGCATCGTCATCATCATCATCATCGTCATCATTAGCATCATCATCGGGTCCCCATCATCAGCATCACCTCATTACCATCATCATCATTACCACCACCATCATCATCATCATCATCATCATCATCATCATCATCATCATCATCGGGGCACCATCATCGTCACCATCATCATCATCGAAATCATCATCATCGGGACACCAGCATCATCACCATCGGACACCACCATCATCAGCATCACCATCTCATCATCATCATCATCATCATCATCATCATCATCATCATCATCATCATCGGGACACCATCATCATCAACATCATCATCATCGGGGCACCATCATTTTCATCAACGCCATCATCATAATCATCAACAGCATCATCATCATCGTCACCATCATCATCGTCACCATCAGCATCACCATCACCATCATCATCAGCATCATCATCATCATCATCATCATCATCATCATCATCGGGACACCATCATCATCAACATCAACATCATTATCATCAACATTATCGTGCCACCATCATCAAAATCATCAGTATCACCTCATCATCAACATCATCAACATCGTCATCATCATCGGGACAACATCATCGTCATAAACATCATTTACATCATCATCCACATCATCATCATCGGGACACCATCATCATCACCATCATCATGAACAGCAGCATCATCAACCTCATCATCACCATCATCATCATCATCAACATCGTCAGCATCATCATCATCATCATATCATCATCATCAACATCATCATAATCACCAACATCATCATCATCATCTCATCGGGACACCATCATCATCAGCATCATCATCAACATCATCGTCGTCACCGGGACACCATCATTATTACCACCATCACCATTCTCACCATCATCATCATCAACATCGTCAACATCATCATCGTCATCATCATCATCATCATCATCATCATCATCATCATCGGGACACCATCATCATCATCATCATCATCATTATCATCATCATCATTATCAACATCATCGACATCGTCATCATCATCATCACCGTCATCATCGGGACACCGACGGAACACCGGCGGGACACCGGCGGGACACCGCGCGCCACCGGACGCCGGAAGGGAATCATTTGGTCCTGCCGCGCCTTAGCCACAGCAGGACACTGGCGGGACACCGCGCGCCACCGGACGCCGGAAGGGCATCATTTGGTCCGGCCGCGCCTCAGCCACAGGAGACTTTCTTCTCGCCCGCCCACGCAATTTCGCCTCGCCCGCACGCACGGCACGCACGAACATGAAACCGAAACCGATTTCCTGTTAGAGGGGCTCTCCGTTCCACTTCGATCTCACCCCCTCACCTCCGACCATTGTGTGCTGAGTTCGCATGCTTGCCAAATTCTGGCTGGCTCGATTGCTGGACTGCGTGGCGGGAGTGGGCCGCGCTGACGATCGCGGGTGAACGATTATGTGCATTGCTGTCCGAGACCTCCTACATTGCCTTGCCCAAGGCTCCCCCGCGGATGAAGGAGGGGAAGCCATGGAGAAGAACCAGGAGGGATCGGGTAACAGGGTAAATACAAGAGCAGGAACGACAAAGATGGCAAGGGGGAGGAGGCGCAGGCGAGACGATGAGAAGGAGGAGGGTGAATCGGGGCCCGCTCGGATGCTCTTGGCTCCCATCTTGTTTTTCAAATAGGACCGCTGAATTGAAGCGTCACAATCCAGATGCATCCCAGAGCACTGGAGGAGGGAGAAGAGAAACGGGAAGAGCCAGGGAGGGTCAGGAGAAGGGAGAGGAGGGATCTGAGGGATCTGATGAGTCCAGCCGTTCATGGGCTGCTGGCACACAGGCCAAGACACCCCGTCTACGGGAGCATCAGAGCCGAGCCATATGATGGCCCAGCGGCGAAAGCCCATGGAAGGCCTGGCCAAGCTTGGTGCTGGCATATCACTGACCACTCCCGCAAACGTGACGCGACGCCCCATGACTTCCGAATCCACCGGCCTTGAAGGCGAAATGATATCATGTTTGTTTTTGCGCAAAGGCAAGGCGCGGTGCAGCAGCAGTGGTCTGGCTGATGGGGCAACGTCGGGCCTCCCCTCCGACGAAGCGCCACACAGCATCTAAGGCAAGGAAAATCTGCATACCCCTTTGGGTGACTATCGTACGAAATCACTTCCTCCCAAAATCCCATCGGCAAAGGACGGGCAACTCGCCTCATACAGTGCCCAGCTAAGTACCCTCGCCCGTTTGACAAGTGGCCCCGATTGACATATTTGCCACTGGCAACAAGGAGGGTTCCAGTCTCCCCGAGTCTGGCAACAAGGAGGGTTCCAGTCTCCTCGAGTCTGGCAACAAGGAGGGTTCCAGTCTCCCCGAGTCTGGCAATAAAGAGGGTTCCAGTCTCCCCGAGTGTTCATCTGGCAAGTGGCACAAATTGTCGAATGGGTCATCGGCGACAGCATTGACAGGACATCTCTGAGCCCAGAAGGGGAGATCTCGGGCGAAATTGGTTGAACCACCTCAGGTGTGGGCATCCCCGAAAACACACCTCCGACGATGTCCCAGGCGAAAAGGACCGGGACAACGTGAGATGAGGACATAAGTGCATGAACCCAGAGTTCAAGGAGATCTCAAGCGAAACGATCAGTCCACGGCAGCTGCAAACCCAGAACAACGAGGAAACGGGATCGGATACCGTGAGGCACGAGCATCGACTGACCCAGAATAACGAGGATGCATCGGGCGAATATGGCTGGACGACCTCAGGCCAGGTCATATCCGAGCCCAGAGTTGTGACGAAGTGTGAAGCGAAACTGGCTGGACCAGCTCAGGTCAGGGCATCCATGGGCCCTGAGTTGCGAGTGTGGGGGCGGGGAGCTGGATGGTCCTATCGCGTGCCTCGAAGCCTACAACTGCGAGGATGTCTCAAGCCGAAAGAGCTGGACCGCCTCAGGACAGCGACGAGGATGTCTAAGCGGAATGGGCTGGACTATCTCTCGCGCGGCATCTCGAAGCCCGCACTTGCAGGGATGTCTCAGGCGAGACCGACCGGAGCGCCTCGCAGGCGGCATCTCAAGGCCCGAAATAACGATGATGGCTTCGCCGAAACCGACCTGGACGACTTCTCGCATGGGGTCTCCTAGATCCCCCCCCTCCTCCTGGGCAGGAGATGGTCAATCGCGATTCCTTGTCCAACCCCATGTTTCCCCTTCGGAGATGGGGTCATCGCTGCTCCTGGATAATACTTGCCTCCTCGCCCAATCCACCGACCGCTAACCCGAGTCACTGCCACCCCCTACGATTCCAACCAAAAACAACTTGAAATACCCTCAGGCGGCTCCCCCATTGGAGCTCGGAAATGCAATGCGATCCGTCAGAACCATGATCATCAGATGTTCATGGTTATGTAGATCTGCCACCGTGCCTCTGAGCACGGAGTGGGCGCGCCCTCAGGTCCTTCCATCATCCTCTCAACCTCAGTCTTCATTTTTGAGGAGTCGTTCAGAGACCCAGACCCCACATCGCGAAATCTTATCCTGGGGCTTCTCGCGGTTTCTCGCGCGACTGTTTCGGAACAGCGGGTGCCTACGCCCTACATGGCTTCATGATGGCCCAAAAGGCCTCCAAGATGCCCCAAGAGGCCTCGAATATGCCTCCCAAGAGAACCCTGAGAGGCAAAAACCATTGACTTGCCTTCGTTGCTTGAAAAATGTTGGCGTTCTCGCCTGTTTCCTTTCCGACGCTCCCAGACGGCCCGAGGTCCCCAACACCACCCCAGGAGTGCCCAAGAGGCATCCAAGAGGGCCCCAGGAGCCCCAAGAGGCACCCAAGAGGCCTGAAGAGGCTCCAAGAGGCCCCCAAGGGGCCCAACAGCGACCCCAAGAGGCTCCAAAACTGCCCCGAAAAGGCCTCAAAACTGCATCCAAGTGGCAGCAAAACTGACCCCAGGAGGCCTCAAAAAAAGGTCCACCACGAAATCCCAACGAACATCCAATAGGCTTCATACCTACAACCTAGGCACAGTGGCGGGAAGGCCATTCGATAGAGAGGAGTCCGAGGTGCAACAGAGAATCATGAGTCCAGAGGGCGAGGCTCAGGCCTGGATGTCTCACCTGAACCCTTCCTGTCGTACTCGGAAAGGCACCCGACGACAAGCGAATCAAACATACGTCGCTCAATTGGGGTCGGCGGCAGAGGCGGCAGCCTTTAGATAAGTTGGACCCTGTGAGTCATACCATTTGGACTCCCCTGGCGGCACGGAGTCCGCGCAGCGCGGCGTCGGGTGCGGCGTGGAAGACACACCGCCCCGCATATGCAACACGCCTGGTTGGCCGTGTAACCGAAATTCTCGTATCCGTCGCCCCATTGTGAGCACGTCGATCAATCATATAGTGGACCCTGTGAGTCATACCATTTGGACTCCCCTGGCGGCACGTAGTCCGCACAGCGCCCGGCAGCCGCCGCGGCTTCGGAATCTGCCTCCGCCTGCCCCTGGAGATTGGAGCTGAACTCGATCGAGGTCGCCATTGGTACGCTGAGGCTGAGGACGAATGCAACCGCGGACGACACGGTCCAAAGGCCCTTGTGGACCGCCATCCCACGGAACGACGGATGCTTGAGCCAAAATGGCTACGGAACAAGTTGTAGGGGGTTCTTGGGGGCCTTTCGGGGGCGTCTTGGAGCCTCCTGGGGGCCTCTTGGGAGCGATCGTGAGGTCTCAGCAGCCCATCGGAAGCGACAAGGCGAGAAGGCGAAGATCAGTGATTCCCCTTCAGTTTTGGAAGGGTTTTGGTTTGTCGGAGGCGTTCTGGAAGGCCTCCTGGGGCCCTCTGGGGTTGTCTTGAGCGTCTCTGGAGGCGTCTTCAGGCTCTGGGCACTTCTGGGCACGCGTTCCCCTTCTTGGGCCGCTCTTGGAGCCGTCTGGGGCCATCTCAGGCAGTCTTGGGCGTCTCAAGAACTACGACCCTCCGGACACTTCTGGGTTCGCGTTCCTCTTCTTAGGCCTGTCTTGGAGCCGTCTTGGGGCCCTCTCGTGCCGTCTTGGACGTCTCAGGGACTGTCTTGGGGCCTTCTTGGGCCGTCTTGGGGCTCTTTTGGAGGCTTACTCATCTGTCTTCGAGCGGTCTTGGGGGCCTCTGGGGCCGTCTTGGAGCGTCGGGAAACTGAAAAGGCGAAAACTCGAAAAGCCTTCAAAACCGCAGGAAAATCAGCGATTGTTGCTCCTTCGGGCGCTCTTGTGAGGCCTCTTGGGGGCATCTTGGGCCCTCCAGGGAGCCTTTCGAAGTGCAAGCTCGGATTGTCGGCTCGGGTTACCCATCCTGTGTCCTTACTGGAGCCGTCTTGGAACGCTCTTGAGCCGTCTTGGACGCCACGGGCGCCGTTTCGGGGCCCTCTTGGGCCGTCTTGGGGCACTCTTGGAGGCCTCTTGGGCTGTGTTGGAGCGGACATTGGGGGCCTCTCGGGCCGTCGTCGAGCGTCGGGACACTACAAAGGCGAGAATTCTAATATCCTTCAAAAACTTACTGAAAATCAGCGATTCTTGCCTCCTCGGGCGCTCTTGGGAGGCCTCTTGGAGGCTGTTTGCTTCTTGGGGCGTCTGAGAGGCCTCTTGAAAAATCTGGGGGGTCCTATTGTGGGGTCATCTCTACCGTCATTGGTCGTTTTGGCAGTCCGGAAGGGAGACTTCTGAAAGTCCGGGGCCGTTTTCGGGCGATCTCAGAGGGCCCCCGGCGCCCAGGGAGCCCCCTCTGGGGCCTCCGCCACACTCATTTGCGGTCGGGGTCGCGGCCCCAGGGTCCCCGGGCCCGGTTCCCCGTGACATGTCGCTTTGATAATACGATAGCTACTTTTATACATAGAAAACTGATCCGGCTAGACCTGCGTCCCGCTGGGGGCCGCCGGGTCCCGAGCGCGCTTGGAGGGCTCAAGACGGCTCCTGATGGCTTCCAAAGGGCCCCAAACTGGGCCAAGAAGAGGGCTGCAAGACGCCCATGGCCCCAAGACAGTCCCAGAGGCCCCCTTCTCGGCCCAAGACGCCCCACGAGGCCTCCGAAAGGAGCCCCAAAAAGAAACAATCGCCGACATCCCTTGGTAAAACGTGCATCAACAACTTCTCGCCTTCCCGACGGTCAGAGACAGGTCAAGACGCCCCCCAGATTGCCCCAAGACGGCCCAAGAGGCACTCAAGAGGCCCCCACGACGGCCCAGGAGGGCCCGAAGACAGCCAGAGAAATGCCCCAAAAGGCCAAGACGGCCCCAAAACGGCCCCCGAGAGGCACCTAGGACCCACACAGAGGCCCCCAAGAGACCCCAACATGATGGACCCACGAACCCGGAAAGGGATAAAGACATGTGCAGCATGGTCACGTTTTCACGATACCCAACTGGGCGACATCTCACGAAACATCCCACGAGACATCCCGCGAAACATCCCACGAGACACCTCACGAAACATTCCACGAGACACCTCACGAAACATTCCACGAGACACCCCGTGAAACATTCCACGAGACACCCCACGAACAGGCAACCACTCAACCAGACACGCCACGAAACATTCCACGGGGGTGCGACTGGGTGCGGTCGTGCTGGGGTGTGGTCGTGCTGGGGTGTGGTCGTGCTGGGGAGTGGTCGTGCTGGGGTGTGGTCGTGCTGGGCGTGGTCGTGCTGGGGCGTGGTCGTGCTGGGGCGTGGTCGTGCTGGGGTGTGGTCGTGCTGTGGTGAGGTCGTGCTGGGGTGTGGTCGTGCTGGGGTGTGGTCTTGCTGGGGTAGGGTCGTGCTGGGGTCGGGTCGTGCTGGGGTGTGGTCGTGCTGGGGTATGGTCGTGCTGGGGTGGGGTCGTGCTGGGGTGGGGTCGTGCTGGGGTCTGGTCGTGCTGGGGTGTGGTCGTGCTGGGGTATGGTCGTGCTAGGGTGGGGTCGTGCATTTCGCTCGAGACATCCTGCCAAAATTCCAGGAAATCGTACAAAAACAAACGAATTAGTCGAGACATCATCGAAATTCCTTCGCGCGGGGCGCTTTTCCGCGTCGCGGTCGGCTCTGCAAAACCAAGCGTTTCGCTCGAGACATCCTCGGCAAACTCTGCAAAACAAGCGTTTCGCTCGAGACATCCTCAACTCTGAAATTCTGAAAAAACAAGCGTTTCGCTCGAGACATCCTCAAATTTTAATTCGCCGGCCTCCTTCGACCTCGTTATTTATCAGGGAAAAAATTCGCCGGCCTCCCTCAAGTTGGCACCGGGGGACAGGTTTACCTACTAAAAGAGAACCCTGGGCCCACGCCCTTTCCGGGAAAAAGGGCGCAGGCGACGCCAAAACTGCCCCCAAGACACCCCAAGAGGCCTCCCAAAGGAGCCCCAAGAGGCCAAAATCGCAGAAACCCATTGGTAAAACATACGTCTTCACCATGAACAACGTCTCGCCTTCCCGACGCTCCAAAACAACCCAAAACGCCCCCCCCCCCCCCCCCCCAGATTGCCCCAAGACGGCCCAAAAGGCACACAAAAGGTCCCCACGACGGCCCAAGAGGGCCCCAAGACGGCTTAATATGATGCAACCTGTGCAATGCAATCTGCGCGGTCCAATCTACGCGGTGCATTCCATGCGGTGCCCAGGACTGCCCCAAAACGGCCCCCGAGGGGCACCAAGGACCCTCACAGAAGCCTCCAACAGGCCCCAGCCCCCCAAGAGGCGCAAAGAAATACCTCAATAGACGCCAAAACAACAGGGTCAAAACTGCTTCCGCAAAACCCCCCCGCAAGCCTCCTGGGTCCCTTGGACTAAAACGGCGACGGTCAGGGAATTCATACATACACCTATATATATATATATATATATAGAGAGAGAGAGAGAGAGAGAGAGAGAGAGAGCCGTGTTGGAGTCCTGTTGGGCTGAACTGGAGCAGTCATGCGGGGATCTCTCAGGCGGTTTTGGCGCGGTCTTTAAGCATTTCCGGGCACGCTCGAAGCGTCGCAAGCTCGAGAAGGCGAAAAACCCAAACACATGGGAACAAGCAGTGGAACATCATCATGTTTTGCCTGTTGGAGCCATATGGTGCAAGGTGTTGGAACTCTGTAGGAGCGGCTTCAAGGTGTCTGGAGCCGTCGCTGCGGCCTCCCTGCAGTTTCTGAGGGCCTCTGGAGGCCCCGGGTCGCCGCCTGCAAACATGATGGACCCACGAACCCGGAAAGGGATAAAGACATGTGCAGCATGGTCACGTTTTCACGATACCCAACTGGGCGACATCTCACGAAACATCCCACGAGACACCCCGCGAAACATCCCACGAGACACCTCACGAAACATTCCACGAGACACCTCACGAAACATTCCACGAGACACCCCGTGAAACATTCCACGAGACACCCCACGAACAGGCAACCACTCAACCAGACACGCCACGAAACATTCCACGGGGGTGCGACTGGGTGTGGTCGTGCTGGGGTGTGGTCGTGCTGGGGTGTGGTCGTGCTGGGGTGTGGTCGTGCTGGGGTGTGGTCGTGCAGGCAACCACTCAACCAAGGCGGTGTGCTCGTGCTGGGGAGTGGTCGTGCTGGGGGGTGGGCGTGCTGGGGGGTGGTCGTGCTGCGGTGTGGTCGTGCTGGGGGGGTGGTCGTGCTGGGGTGGGGTCGTGCTGGGGCGTGGTGGTGCTGGGGCGTGGTCGTGCTGGGGCGTGGTCGTGCTGGGGTGTGGTCGTGCTGTGGTGAGGTCGTGCTGGGGTGTGGTCGTGCTGGGGTGTGGTCTTGCTGCGGTGGGGTCCTGCTGGGATGTGGTCGTGCTGGGGTGTGGTCCTGCTGGGGTGTGGTCGTGCTGGGGTGGGGTCGTGCTTGGGTGGGGTCGGGCTGGGGTGTGGTCGTTCTGGGGTGTGGTCGTGCTGGGGTGTGGTCGGGCTGGGGTGGGGTCGTGCTGGGTCGGGGTCGTGCTGGGGTGTGGTCGTGCTGAAGTGTGGTCGTGTTGGGGTGTGGTCGTGCTGGGGCGTGGTCGTGCTGGGGTGGGGTCGTGCTGGAGTGGGGTCGTGCTGGGGTGTGGTCGTGCTGGGGTGGTCCGCACCCTGTGACTTATCGATCGGGTCGTGCTGGGGTGTGGTCGTGCTGGTGCTGGGGTGTGGTCGTGCTGGGGTGTGGTCGTGCTGGGGTGTGGTCGTGCTGGGGTCGTGCTGAGGTGTGTTCGTGCTGGGGTGTGGTCGTGCTGGGGCGTGGTCGTGCGGTGGGGTCGTGCATTTCGCTCGAGACATCCTGCCAAAATTCCAGGAAATCGTACAAAAACAAACGAATTAGTCGAGACATCATCGAAATTCCTTCGCGCGGGGCGCTTTTCCGCGTCGCGGTCGGCTCTGCAAAACCAGCGTTTCGCTTGAGACATCCTCAGCAAATTCTGAAAAACAAGCGTTTCGCTCGAGACATCCTCAAATTTTAATTCGCCGGCCTCCTTCGACCTCGTTATTTATCAGGGAAAAAATTCGCCGGCCTCCCTCAAGTTGGCACCGGGGGACAGGTTTACCTACTAAAAGAGAACCCTGGGCCCACGCCCTTTCCGGGAAAAACACAAGGGAAATGACACTGTGCACCCTCATTTGTGGCAGAGGCCGCGGCCCCGAGCGCCGTTCTGTAGGAGCGGCTTCAAGGCGTCTGGAGCCGCCGACGCGGCCTCCCTGCAGCCTCTGGGGGCCTCTGACG